CTCAGTTTCAAACTAATTAACTCTGGCGGGAAGTATGTAAGGATCTTAAGTTTTACTAACGTTTATTTTATTTTAAATCTTTACTATCACTTCTTATTTTCTACTTCCGGCCAGAATTAAAAGCTTTAACTTATTTATGCAAATTTGTCTTGCGAACGCCAAGTACTTAAGTTGTGGCTTTTTGCCAAGCAAGAGAGAGGAAGGAGTTATTAGAAGCAGGCCGCTTGCCATAGTAGTTTTACTCGGTTGCTGGTTGCCTTCAAGGCCAGAGGTTTAATCCTCTTGATAATTTTAAACGTATCGTAGTGTTAGCAGTTCTCTGTACTACATACGGCTTTTGTTAATATACGGCCAATCTTCAAGTAGGCACTTGTTTATTAATCCAAAGTTAGTTTAGTTAGAGTTTAGTTAATATTTTTATATTCTTACGTTCAGACCACAAGTGGTTGGTCTCTGTATTCCGAAGTCCGGAAATCATTGTAAAGAGAGAAAAATAAAGGGTTTCGTATACCCTTCCTGTGTATCTTGTCTACTTCCCACATTTATTGAACATAGCTTTAGTAAGCTCCCTGTTCCGAGTCAGGTCATTTAATGTTCCCAAAGCAAGTAAGGAGGAACACTGAACCTGATAAAGGGCTATTTACCCAAAGGGGCATCCCAGGATAGTCTCGAACCATTTTGCGTCTCTATAAATGGCGTATATTTTCAATATCACTAAATGATGACCATGTTTTAAGGAATTAAATAATGAAGAATCTGCATGAATGTATATGTGTTTCTCGCATTTTGAAAAAACAACGATACCTAGAACCATCAAATTTTGAATAACGTAGTCATCCGCCCGAATAAGGGCACCTGGAAGCCTGATTCTTGAATTTCGATTTTGCTTTATAATCTATTTTATATGTTTAAACTTATTTTAATGAATTATTTATTACTTAAACGATTTTAAATCGAGCAGTGATAACACACTGTAGGAATAAAATAGTTTTATCTTTAGCGGATGAGATTGTCTGTCGGAGATTCTAAAGATATGCTGTTTTTCAACATTTTTAGCCCGAAGGGCGTTAGCCCAAATGCTTTCGAAACGTGTATGTATGTATAAATGAAAATAAAACGCTCCTTTGGGCGTAATATAAATCTGAATGCTTTCAGACTTTTTAATTAAAATTGTTGTAACCCATAATGAGTCATGAAGTCTTTTTAGTTGATATCGAAAGCGTAAAACTGCTTACAGCTCATTTTCTTATATAGTTTCTGATGTCTTCTGCGGTGTTTAACAGGATGCAAGTTTCAAGGTAATTAATTAAAGATTTAGTAAAACAAAGAATGATAGTGTTTCTACTCACTTTTGTCGCACCTTTTATTACTAAATTTAAAAAACGAACAGCCCACTGAAAAAAGGAATGCCTTAAAAGCTTGAATTTAGTGAAGCTATTTTAGTCCAATCCTCCTTTCAAATTTACCCATTTATCTTTTATTCTTTATTTATAACTTTCACCTTTCATATTTTGAAATAAAATCTTACATTAGTTCATAGACATTAATTATTGTTTCATATAAATAACAACATTTAGAACATCATCTGTCTAATAGGGACCTATTAAGACTGTCTGAAGCCTTAGTCAGAGAGTTCTTTCAAGCGTCCACTTCGTTATTTTATGAGGTGAAAATAAGATTAGGAGAAATTATAAGATCATTTTGTAACTAAAAAACATAGATCCTTGCAGGGCAAGCAATATTTAGATTTTGTTGTCAACAAGGTCATTGATTTCGATTTTTGCTTCAGCGATTTCGATTGCTCCATCAACACACATATTCAATACAGGAAGTAGGAATATTAGTCTGTTTGCATTTTTTTGTGAATAACTTAAAAGTATTTATTAAATTGAATTATTTATTTATTTATTTATTTGCGGCTGATAATGTTTAGATATCTTCGCAACAATAAGTGAGAAAACTTTCATAAAAAGTGAAAGAAATGAAAATATGTTAAAACATGCTGTTGTAAGTTCTATCTTTTTGATGGATATTTTGATTTCCCATGTGAAAAAATCAAATTATTCATCTGTGAGATATAATTTGGCACAAAAGTAAGCATCAGGGTCGGTTCCAGGAGTGTGCAGACTGTGCCAGGTCGCAGGACGCCAAGCGTATAACGGCGTCAATTCCTAATCATAAATTTTAGAATTCGAGTTATATGACTGCCGACTGGAATTCAATAGAAAGGAGCGAAAGTAAAGCTAACTGAAATCAGCATGAGTGGCTAAATCCCGTCAGAAACCGAAGAAATCCTATGTTTTATTTTATTTTTATTATCTGCTCCGCCATTAGGCACTATGTGGAAGGGGAAGGTTGCTCATGGAAGACTTTTTAAGGGTAACTACTTCGTATCCACGTTACACATGGGGAAAACCATAAAAACGCGTATGGAGCCAGCCCCTTAGCCGTACCAAGTTACCAGTATTCAGCGGCTTTTACCACTCGGCCGCTGGTGGGCTAATTCAACCAATTAGAAAGCGCCGTTGTGCTCATTTTCTTTTTGCCGCAATTTTTCGTGCAAAACTGGTATACAAGACTGTGCTGGTTAATGTTATGGTAACTCTCTTCGCACTTCTTGGCTACCCAGGAAGTATAACGAAAGTTACCGTAAGGTTAAATTCATTTTGTTTGGGTTATCAGTTTGTGATACATTTATATCATTGGATATTTACTATGTTATAAGCGGCGACCTGTCAAGAGTATCATATTTATTGTGCAGAATTCAAATCGTAATTTCTAAAAGAAATATGGCTTTGTATCCTAATCAATTTGCTTTCTAGATACCGAATTACATTTTGATTTTCTGGTATCGTTAATTTACTGTTGGTAAAAATTACTATACTGTGAAATTTCGTTGCTCTTTGTTTAAAATTATCTCGCAATATTTAGGTCTCTTATCATTTCATGGAACGTAATCATTGTTAAATTCAGTTAACAAAAATATTTTAAGGAAACATTTTTTTAACTAGCAGATCTTAGAAATCTTTTTTTTTTTTTTTTTCTTTTCTTTCTTTTTTTTTTTTTTTTTTTTTTTTTGTGTGTGTGTGTGTGTGTGTGTGTCTATTTTTCTGTTGGCAAAACTATACCAAGAAAAGCTCATCAAAATAAAAAATAACGAAAATATACAGACAACATTGTTTTTGCAATAGTTGGTACTAAGAAAATAATTTAATTTTAGATCATAGTTTCATAGTTGTGTGTCAACAACTTAAATTGCACAACAACAGCAATTTGTAGTTTTCGTGCTTAACTAGCAATATTTATGAACAATTTGCTATAGTAACATTTTTTTCATATACGTTTTCACAATAACAAAACAAATCTTGAGAACATTACAACTTTTACAATCCACATAAATTAACTCAGTTTTGATATAATTATATGCAGGGTCTGCCAGTGAAGCGAGAATGACTGTGTGACATTACCGGGCCCATATTTTTTTCCGGATGGTAGACTGTTAATGCCGACCGCTGTTCACATGGTCGGAATACTTTTGATGCAACAGCTCCCTAAGTTTCTGGAAATTAATGTTTTCTAGTAAAATGGTGCTACAAGCCATACTGCTGGCACGTCCATGACTGCTTTAAGGGAACTCTTTCCGCACAGACTCATATCCAAACACTGCAAGATTCCCTGATTTGTGGGAATGCAATTTTTTCTATTTTCTTTGGGGACTGCTGAAGAACAGGCTGACCGCAAACCATATCGGAATTAAAAACGAATATCAGATATGATATTGTATGGATTCAACTGGATCTGCTTCGTCGAGTGATGGACAAATTTCAGCCAAGATTAGAAGAACGTTTAAACAAAAATGACTCTACCTGAACGGCCTTATTTTAAAAAAGTAAGATGTTATACTTTGCTGAGTTGAGATCTGTAAAAGATTCTGATAATAAATGTTTCATTAAAAAAAACTGGATACTTTTAAAATTTCTCCCTTCACTGGCGAACACTATATAATATATTTATTTTTATTTAATATGTGTTTTATTTTTACTGTAGACTCCCCATGACGCCCGGCGAAGTCCTCATAAAAAAAGTTCGTTCAGACGAAGGTTTTTTTTCGTCATAAGCTATGTGGTTTAAAGATATGTGGTTTTCGTCATAAGATATGTGGTTTTAATGCATTAAAATCATTAAATACATTTACACCTGATTAATAGGTTTAAACCGTAGTCAATGAGGGCAGGCAGAGCTGCGCATGTGTAAGTAGGCAGCTGACTCAGCCAAATTTTTGACCGATGTTTGCTTCGTTGTGATTGCTCGGCTATTATTCCAATTCGACATAAACCCGAAAATTTGAAACTTTTAGGCAAAGTCCTTAAATCAGGTTTTGGGGACGTAGGAGAGTCTGGTTGCTTAGCAGCGAAAATCTGCATAGACCTCTAAGATTTTGAATACATTGTGTGAATGAAGCTTTAGCAAGCAATCAAAATAAAATCGAACCAAAACTGAATCACTTCTAAACAAGCTTTCTACTGTGATTTGCGCATTTCTTCTCCATTCCGTTGTCCTGCCAGCCTATTTTTTGCTATTTCCCTTTTTTCCTTCGAATATACGAGTTGTAAAAAGTAAAAGTTGTAAAGTAAAAAGTAAAAGTTGTAAAGTTATAAAAAGTAAAAGTTGTAAAGTAAGTTGTAAAAAACACAATTGTAACTATGAAGAGCACGCGCATGCTTTGTACCGGCTTAACCATTTGTGTTTGTGTGAAGAAATTATTTTGTCAAGAAAGTGAATGTATTCATTCGGCCATGATAGATGCTATATCTTTAGCCTTCTATGTCAGTGGTTCCCAAACTTACTGTGCCCATGCACCCCATTCTTATAACAAAAACTTGACTAAACCCCAAGTGAAGAAACGCTACATAAGTGCGTTATAGAAAAATTACATACATAACATTAATGCCTTGAAAGGTAAATGGTGATGCAAAAGTAAAATATAAAGAAAACATATCTGTATTTAAAATAGTATTTATTTAAATTATAACTTGGTTTTAAAACACGAAAGCATATCCTTTTTTTAAATGAGATGAGCGAATATGATGGAATGGTATGTGATCATTTATGTCTGGCTACGTGTTTATGAGTAACAGTCGTAAATCTATATGAATACGAAGTACCATCGATCCCTAGTTTTTCATAATGAGCTTCATACTTAAACTAAATCCACGTTCTGCTAAATAAGAGTCACAAGAAAAGAATTAACAGCTTCTCTACAGTGAACCCGTATTGTAAGATATAAAATTGGTGTTTGTTTTTGTAACAACAATTAGTGATATTCTTGTTCAAACATTCGTTTCAGCTCCTCATTTTATATACTTCAATAATTTATTTCCGTATTAGTATGAATTTATCTGAGTTTGTGGGTCTTCTTGCAAAAGTGTCCAACACCCAGTCACAAATAACTAAATGAAGAATATCTTCAAATATGTGGATGAGGTCAAAATGAAGAACCATTAAACGTTAAGAATTAGCAAGGAAATCTTTATCTCGGTTTTGAAATTTTGAATGACTTGGAAACTCAAAGCATTTTCTTCTCCCCAAGAAATAATTTGCAAATATGATACTTCTGTTGATTAAATTTAATTTATCACCTTGCAGTTTCGAATCGATTTTGCTGAATATGGTAAATCATTCAGTCATATAATTATATAACTGTTTGAATTAATTAAATTGAGCTGCAAATCTATATCTTTAATTTCTAGGAATTCCAGCACTGAATCAAAGAGTTCATAAAATTGTTCCAAACATGCACTTTTAGATAATCAATGAATTACGTGTCAAGGTAGTAAACAATTATAATCGTCATCATTTTCGAAACGAAAATTAAAGAAATAATCTCTCATATAAAGCATTCCTTTTGATTTTATTAACTGCGGTAATGGCATAATCTAGTGAACCATGCAAGAGTTCAGTAAGATTCTTGGTGACTGAATATTGTCGTGAATAACACGGTGTACAGTTAATATATTCGGTTTAGCTTGTTTTGAATATGGCAGAAAGCCTGGGTATTGTCCTATCATTCCATAGCAATAGGCACTGGAGTGGATATTACTCAAAGGATAGTTTTTACATCGAAAAATATTTTTAATTCATTCAATATTACTTCATGTCTCTTATCAGTTTCTGAACATTTCCTAAATAACAATTCTTGAGAAATCCTTTCCTCTTTTACAAACAAATCTCACTTAAGCTAAAAGCTAAGCTTCGTTTCCTTGCAAAGTTGACTCATCAAACTGCATAGAGAATGCACATGATTTTAAGTACTCGCGGGAAGAATTTTCTACTCACTAAATCATTTTTATAATCCGTTTTTTGTATTGTATAATTATTTAGTGAAATTCTTTTTATAATATCGAAAGCTACTTTAAGCAGCACAATACATATTATTTCATTTGTAGCTGGTATAATAACTTCTTTACCAATGGTGTGTGGCTTTGTGACTTTGCAATGAGTAAAATGCTGTAAGAAACACGCAGTTGTCCATCGTCATATCTTTCAGATGTTGTCACAATGTTGGGGTTTTCAAATACTTTTCTTTGACTGTTTAAAAAAAATGTTAAATCTTTATATTTCTTGTCTTTATGAACTTTCGACAAATATTGCTTAAGTTCCAATGGTTCGTTTGACAAAGTTTTATTGCATAGAAGGCACATAGGTAATGTACTATACCTTGCTAATGGAATAAAGCCATAGTTTAAATGTTCAACACTACACTGTGTACATTTTTCTTCGGCTGACTCATAGTGTTATCTGTAAAAAAAGACACGATTTGCTTTAATTTACACAGGACAATTTTTCAGTTTATTTGTTTCTATTTATCTCAACATTTAAAATAATGAAAGTGGGTCACAATTATTTTATTTTATATTAAAACCTCCACCGTTGTTCAGGCACCCTCGAATTAACTTTAATTTACCACAGGCACCTTCTAATAAGGATGCCTGAGGGCCTGTAGGAACCACTGATACCTCTGTCATCAATATCTAAATTACATATTTTTTTATTTAGGATATTTCTCTTTTCTATCATAATGTCAGACAGAATGATTGTTGGATATCTAGAAAAGGTGCTTTAAAATCCACAAATCTGACCAAAATCAGGTTGCACAATTAGCTATTATGATACAATTCAGTTTGCGCCTTCTATCTCTTAATTCTTGTTATACGTTTTAATTATAAATAATCATAACATGCATTTGTTATCATTTTTTATTGCTGCTCTTTGTTTTAATTAACAACTTGTTAATTCTTGTCTGTAAACTTGCAGTTCATAAAGTTTCTTTTTAAATAAATATGCAACATAGCCCCGATTATCTGAGTTCTGATTAACCAAACTTCCGTGTTATTCGAGCGCAATGCAACAAATAAAAAAATTACTGGCTGGGAGAGTCGCAAAACTTCGTGAAACGGTCTACCGAGCTGCTGAAAAATATTTTCCTGAATAACGATGACACAAGAACAACACGAACTCAAGAATGAACTGATGAAGAGTTACTAGCTTTCTTAAATCAGCTACAAGCTGTAGAGGCAGAATCGAATGAAGATGAATTAGATGCAATATTATGAACAAGCTGAACTTTCTGATGAGGCTGTTGTAAATTTAGTCACGCACAATGAAAGTTCTGATGACGAAGACATGGGAATAGTCAAACTAACAGTCGATCGAACAGATGACTTGAACGTGATCGAAAAAGCATTGCTTTGTCCTAAATAGCAAGACGACACGTCACCAGCCGACATTATGATGCTCCGAAGTCTACGCAATTGGCAGTAAGAAAATGATGCAGCACAATGAAACAAAAGGTATTTTACTAATGTTTATAAAAAATGCATTCGTGTTACAGCTACGTGTTTTCAAGTTTATAGTATATATCACATGTATCTATCTATGCATTTCAACGTATATCTGCTTTATATCGCCTACATGCGTCAATCCTGTATGTTAATAAATTTCCTATAGTATGTACAATATGACTTTAGTATTAAAATTTTCTTTGTATCAATCTCTGTTATCCGAGTTAGCACCGTTTTACATTAGCTCGGATAATTGTTGTTCCATAGTATATGTATATATATATATATATATATATATATATATATACCGTATATATATATATATATATACCGTATATATATATATATACCGTGTCCATAGACAAAGAATGTATATAGTACTCTATGTGATAAGAAGCCATTATTTTCTCAACCATATGTCGTAGATATACGCTTCTAGATATAAAATGTTTAAGTAAGGAACGTATCCATGTTATAATATGCTTAAATATGAAAAAAATAGATTTTGCAAAAATAAAGACATCTAACTTTTACATGGCTTTCGAGTCCTAATAATTAACATTTCGTAAAAGTCTCACTCTGAAAAACGAAACACGATATGTTTGACTTCCGTAGAAGTACAAACTGTCCGTGATATGAGCTTTTAATTTTAAAGTCTGAGATCATGCTTAAGAGTAGTGCACAAAATGAATTATTTTATGTTGTACCTAAACATAAAATACCTATTTGAAAGGAACTGTTTAATATTAATAAATTAAGTGAAGAGCACTGCTATGCAGAGTCTTTTGAAAAGAATTGATCAGTATAATGTTTTTGAAAAAAGGAGATTTTATTTATAGAATATGGTAGAATTAGTGTGGTAGAAAACAATGGTGCATAGCTAGATCATAACATTTTTTGCATAAATTCATCCTGAAAAATGTTTATATAATTATATTCTGAAATCCTGAAATTATTCAGGATATATAATTATATCCTGATGTTTATATAGTTATATCCTGAAAAATGTTTAGTTAATTTTTGCATGGTTATTAGATTACGATTCTAAAGTAATAAAATACGTGAGATTATTAATAATATGTTTTTAGGATTTGAAAACTTATCAATTTCTTGAGTGAAATTTCTTCATGAGTAATAAAAGTATAAATTAAACAATGCTACATACTTTATTCCTTAAGAATAAACCTTTAAGAATAAATTCCTTAACAATATCACTGAAGGAAATTAAATAAAAGAATAATAACATCGAGTTATTCCCATTTGATTTTTAACTAATTCATCGAGGTAAACAGAAAAACATAGCAATTATATCAAATTTTGAAATTAAATATTTTAGTCAATTTTTTCATACGGGAAAGAAACGTGTTGTATTTTAATTTTTATAATGAGATTAAACTTTTACTAAATGTAACTCTAAGAGTCTAGGAAGATATAAAAACCAGATTTCCTAACTTTTGGTGTTTTTTGTTATTATTTGTTTTTATTTTTATTTGAAAAAGCCAAAACATAAACATTTGAGCCATTTAAAATATTTTTGAAATTGGAAGTATATGTATGCAACCAACGAAACGAAAACAAAGACTGCATAGTAATTTTAATGGAAATACAATATATGTTGTGGATAAATATATTGTATTTTTAATTTAATGTTCCTAATATTTTACTCATCTTAGCACATCAGTTAAAATTTTAAATTATTTTCGTACGGTATGTTTACATCGCATTATAATACATCATTCAATATTGTCCGCGGGTTCATAGAACTCGAATAGATTTTCGAATGTATGAATTACCCGTAGGAAGGAGGACTATATATGCAAAATTTGTATGAGGTCAGACTTCATATAAATAATGAAACGACTTGAAGTCGATTTCGTATTAATAATAATCGGATTACAATATAGAATGTACAATAAATGACACTCCACTTAGGTTTGTAAATCACAAGTGCAGCGCACTGTTATAGTTTGAAGCATTTTTAATGGTGGAGGAAGTGAGTTACGTACCTCATTTCTGAACCAATTATTCTTCATTTAAGTTCCCAAAGTGTACTCTTTCTACATTAGGTGCTTCAGAGATGAGTAATTCGTTTTCTTCAAATGAGTTTCGTTTCTTGAAGGTAAAGTTGAAGTACAAGAATGGGTACCCTTCCTTACAACAAGTATAATGTTTATTTTCTCGTCTAGAATGAGATTGCAATAGTTTCCACTCCGCATTAGTGTCTACGAAATCTGAAATATCCACCTGCAAAGATAAAAATCTCTAGTTTCTCCTTGACTATTACGAAAAAATTTGAAATAGTTTGTAGAAATAATAAATGAATGGGAGAAAAATTCCTAAGGTAATGTTGTATACATGTCTATATAATCTCGAAAGCAGAAAATTTTTGTAATAAATTTTGAAGAATAACGCAATGTAAAACTCCTTCTAAGCTAACCCCTCTTCCCTCCAAAACCTTTTTTAAATCCACCTTCTGCATCATATAAGTAGCGACTAAAAGGCAAAACTAATGTTGTCACTTAGGAGAGATTTCAGAGTACAAGTACTAAACGATTAAGATATTTTTTGAGACGAAAACATATTTCTGGTACTCTGTAACTTATCGGAAATGCTATTTAAAAAGCCAATTTTTTTCCTATAGCTCACTTAGCCATTTATCCCTTTGTTCGTTCAGTTACGTAGCTTTGTTTATGTTACTTGAACCAGCATTTCGTGCTAGAAAAATGCTATATCAGGCATAAGAAAATCTCTGAGAGTTAATTCTACATTTATGCTTGTTATTTTCCTTTCGAACGTTCAAGGCTGTGTTGATTTTTCATCAACTGACACAAAATTTTCTACACTACTTACCGAACAAGCTGTTATGTTATGATGTTTAATTCATTAACTAGATATTTTATTAAATACTTTTTGGCCTTTTATAGACTTCAGCAAAATGTAAATTAGGTTAGGCCAGCAGTTCTCAACCTTTTGACTAATGCGTACCATCTAAGCAAAAATTGAAAACCTTTAGTACCACCACTACGAAGTACTACTACCACCACCTCTCTTGAACAAAGCTCAGATCGCATAAATTTACGAGTGTTAGAGAAAAAACTCGATCAGGATGTTGATTTTTTTATATTTTGAATTTAATAGTTAAAAATACTTTGCTTCTTTCCGTACCACCTATTTTTCTCTTGCGTACCACCAGTGGTACGTGTACCACCGGTTGAGAACATAGGCATAAACAACAAGAGCAAGAGTATTTGTATAATTCACTAGCAACGGAAGATCGCTTTTGACCAACAATTCAGCAACCTCCTCAAGCCATGCATCATTCGTATTTGCTTTGTAAGAGGCTGTGAATTATTTGCTTTGCCTTATTATTTGCCTATTACACTCTATTGAATCCGCATTTGTTCGGTATGTTTTTTTCTATTGGTGGTCGTGTTATAATTCATGTAATATGAAAGCATTACGAAAGTATGAATATATATGAAATTTATATGAAAATATATGAAAGTATTTCATGTAATATGAACTCTTATCAACATGTCTCAGAATTTCGAGATCAAATTCCTGAGACATGAATCGCAGCCTACAGAGACTACGATTTATCCTATCATGCAACTGCTTCTTACGTGGGTCGAAATCCAGTAACTCTTATGAGAATTTTTAGTCAGTGAGTCCTGGAGTGCCATGAAAAACTATTTACGGGATTTGAACTGCTTTCTCCCACCAATATACCAAACGACATACATATTATTCACATCACTGTTAGAGACTTTAGAAACCACATATTCTGAGATAGAAAGTTGAGTACGTTGCAGAGGATCAAGCATCCCGAACGTACAGACGACGACAGATACAACAATATGGATTGTTAACAATACAACCACAGCTTTGGCTACCCATGACGCTACAGCACAGTAACCAGCGCCTGACAATGGCGTATTCAGTAATATATATGGACACATCTATTACACGATGTCTTTTCTGACATATCCCGCTTTTGCTTACATTATGGGAGCTATATCCCAGTGCTAAAGCACGGGGGGAAAAGCAAATGTTGGGAGCTTGTATTCTTCATCACCATATCGGCTCAGCATCTGGATAAATGGTATGGGGTGCCATTGGGTACACATCCCGTTATCTTCTAATCCCCATATTCGGTACTTTTATCAGATACAGCTGAAGCTTTAAAATCCATGAGTATGCCTTATTTTCAGTATTTCCGTTGTCTTGTTTTTCATCAGGACATTTCGAGTTCGCATGAGGCCGACATTAAAATCATTTACACCATTTAAAAAATTCAGAAAAATTAATCTATTTTGACTTCGAGCATCCCGGTGTTGACACCACTGCTCTTGGCACATATGAGTTCATTGTGCTACGCTTCTTCAGTGTACACCGTGTTTCAGAAAGAATATACGTATTACAAAGTGTTATGTTGTCCAAACTATCGATCACTGCTCCCCGGCTCGGCTATTGGCGAAATGAATACATAGTCTACTTTATATTAATAGACGTTAGATGTCAGTTGTCTTCTGTTTTGCGTGGTAACCGTCACATGTTTAAAATGGCTACTTTGCAGTAGAAATCATTTTGTGTTTTCGAGTTTGCGAAATGCAATTTCGTGATTACAGTGCAAGACCTTTCAAGTTGACGTCCCAAAGTGATCCTCCGAATGGGTGGAACATTCGCAGATGGTCTTGACAGTTCATAAATATAGGATGTGTATGTAAAGGAAAGAGACCTGGCCTCCCTCGTGCTTGCGACGAAAATGTTGTACGAATTCAAACTGCTTTCCAATGTAGTCGTTCAAAATTACCTCGTCGTGCCAGTCGGGAGTTACAACTGCCTACAACAACAGTTTGGCGTATTGTAAGACGTCGGTTGGTTATGAAGCCATACAAGTTACATTTGTTACAGGGCCTGCTTCCTGATGACAAACGCAAACGTGTGGCATTTTGTAACGAGATTATTAATGCTATTAACAATGATAACACTTTCGCACAACGCATCGTGTTCAGTGATGAAGTGACTTTTCATGTTAGTGGTCATGTAAACAAACACAATGTTTGAATTTGGGGCCTACAGAACCCACATGCAGGCATTGAACATGCACTTCGCCCAAAATCAATGTGTTTTGTGCGATATCCCGATTATCTGTTTACGGCCCATTCTTCTTTGATGGAAACACTGTTAACGGTCAGCAGAATCTTGCTATGTTACCAAACTGGTTGTTTCCGAGGCTGCACGAAGACAACTTCATTTTTTAACAAGACGGAGCACCCCCTCACTGGTGTCACCAAGTGCGTGATTATCTGAATGAAACTCTGCCGAACCGTTGGATTGGTGGTCAAGGAGCTGGCAACTTAGCATATCTCAGCTGCCCTCTACGGTCACCGGATTTGACACTTCTGCCTGTGGGGTTTCATTAAAGCCAACGTTTATGTACCTCCACTCCACCAAAACCTGGAAGAGATGAAAGAACCGGATCCGTACTGTCATAACATCAGTGAGTACCGGCATGCTTACCCAAGTATGGGAGGAATTGGAGTATCGATGTAATATTGTTCGTGTTGCTGACGGAGGATATATTGAACATCTGTAATCTGAACTTAAAAGCTTCGTACATATGTGTGTAAAGTTTCATATTCGTATGTCATACAGTTTAATAAATATATGCATTCAAAATACGTATATTCTTTTTGAAACACGCTGTACAAGGTATCTGGCTCCTGCGTTGACTAGCTTCAGAATTGTCATTAATCGTAAACGTCTGATTAGTGGTTACAGAGAGACTGCGCGGCAATACCATCCAGCGAGTATAACAAGCAAATTCTAGTATTGCAGAAAAGCCCCATGGCATATTCTGTTCCCGGAAATTAGTAGAAATTTTTATTATTTAATCTTTTAGGTATAATTTTATTGCAAAATAAATGTGATTCTGCTATCTGCTTTCCATTACAGGAAAGCAATTTTAATAGCCAGCTGCATCTTAGTTAATTTGTGAGGATTAAAATTCATCTGGATGGACTTCTTTGATTATGGCAAAGTATAGTATAGCTATTTGCCTAAAGAAAGAAATAATCTTATGGATGATTTTCTGATTAAAATTGATTTATATTCTACTTCACATAAAGATTCGTCTAAATAAGGCACAGCAGTATGAAAGAAGCTAATTTAAACCAAATCTTATATCGCCAGTTATATGCAGGGCCTGATTTAGACTTGATGAGACCCTAAGCTATTTAAATACGAGGCCTTTATAAGTGTGTTATACTATATTTATACTATAGTTTAAATTTTTGGGGTCCCCAAGAAAGTGGGGGCTCTAAGCTATAGCTTGTGTAGCATATACGTAAATCCTGCACTGGTTATATGTTACACCTTATATCCCACGACGTATATGTCACGCAGTATGTGTGATGGGAATGACTACCGTCTACACTTAGCTATCAGGTAACAACTATAAATTCAGAAAATACCACTTTAATATTCAAAGAAATTACTTAGTGACTACCGTCTAAACTGAGTTATCAAATATTAACTATTAATTCAGAAAATACCACTAACTATTCAAAGAATTTGCTCAAACTCGCAAAATGATCTAAACAAGGCAAAAAAGTATAGAGTAAATTAAGTTAAACCATACCTTAATATTGTGAAGCATATGTTATGCCGTATACGTTATAGTATCCTCTTTCTATCATGGCTTTTGTATCAAGGGTGCTATATACAGCACGCCTGCGAATTATCCTTTATTAGCTAATAAAAGAAGTAAAGTACAACTTAGATAACGAAGAAACTTTTTGTTAACACGACTTAGTGGTTTTGAGAATTTAGAAAGATTTACCAGCAAATTAACAGAAGTTGCATCTTCCAGGTTTTGGCTTATATGCTATGGCAAAGCACACAAGAGGTATTTGTCCTAAAGGGACTTTCTAAAGAAAAATGACTCATATCCATGTTGCCCATGGGGAAAATTTAGAAAATGCTATGCAGCTAGCCCGTTAGCCAGGATTTGAACCTGAATTAAACTAAAAGATTTCAGTGACTTTGCCAATCAGCCGCTAGGTTACATCTTTCAGATGAAAAGTTAAAAGTTAATAAAAACCTTATTGCAACAAAACAATTTCATTATGATATGACTACTTTGAATTTTTCTGTACTTCACTATTAAATAATAGCTGTAAGTTCAGAAAATATCACTTAACATTCAAAGAAATTGCCCAAATTGAAAATGACAAGACGAAAGAACGTAACAACCAGAATAACTCATTTTAGTGCGTGCTAAATTTCATACGTATCAGTTATAGTTAATGAGTTGTATTTACACCCATTCATAGAGTCTTCTCACAAATAACTTGCATCTTCGTTTCTGGCAAGCTATTGTGAATACTATCTTTTAAAGATCCTACGTATTTGACATTTCTTGCACTGTACTTCGTTTTCGCTCATACTAAGAAACGAAAGAAGTTTTCAAGCTTACTTAAAACGTTAGAACGTTACCGATCAATCTAAAATGAACGTACCTGTGCGTCTACAATGTTTCAACAATTATTCATAAAAATCAAGGTTGGAAGAAAGACACGTTATCCGCCCAAGTAGCACACGACGTTACAAAGACGTTGCAAACAGGTCCAAGAGTTGCAAAGTGATCTTTTACGACGTCTTTACAACGTTGCGAAGACGCAAAATATTTGCCGTTGTATCTTGGAAATTTGTCGACGTCGCTGTAACGTCACGATATGACCGCTTTTAGACGTGATCATTTTAGCATTTGTTTCATAGTTCATCAGCCTTACTTTTAGAATGAATAGACTAAATCTGCTCTTTCAAAAACCTAAAGTCCGCATAAGATTTACTTTGTAATGTTTCATTACTTTATTTCATCTAAATATATTAATCTAAGATAGATTCATCTAATGATATATAAATTTAATATAAATACTTTTGATTTATTAAGTTTAATTAGTACTAAAATACGTGCTAAATTAATGTTTTAAAATTTTGTTAAAATAATTAATACTTCAAATATTTTTATAAATATTATAGCAAAATATTTAAAAATGAAACTAATCTATAAAGTAAGTTATTAAGTTATGCATTTTATATATTTTAAAAAATTATATTTCCGAAATCAATGCAAATCACATGTTAGCAATTATTTCAATGCTGAAATATGACTTTATTTATTATCTTTGAAGTAAGGACGAATTTATTTGAATTAATATGCTGACATAATATAAAATATTTTACCGCATACAGTGCAAAAAGTACAATTTTCGCGAAGATATGATTGTGCGTGAAGATGTATTCACGGATAAATATGGGGCGTTTTAAAGAATTCCGAGAAAACGTCCAATGTTAAAAGAGGATGCATATCCATGAGTATTTAACGGCTGTTCAATATATATGACGGAAAACTCACCGACAATCAGGAGAAGCAGAACGGAAAAATTAATGGAAAAGGAGAAAGAAATATTAACACTTTTCATGGAAAAAGACAAAATTAATGGCTTTGATAAATTACTAAGAAATGTTGACATTAAAATTAGAGAAACAGTGAACAAAAATACGAAATTCATTACCTATAAAAATTCTAATGAACAGTTTATTATGTTTTAACGTTTTTGTCCATCTCTACAAATTTCAAATGCATTCAAAAATGCTTGGTTTAATCCTAGTATACGGTACACTCGGGATTTGGCGACATTGACATTACAAATGTTTCAGCGAGCCCGATAAATAATTTTTGTAAATATAATCTTGTTTGTAATTCTATTCAGTCGAAATAATTCTTCTAGGCTATTTAAAAATGAGTCTATTAAATTATCAGAAGAACCGTCGAAAGGTTTAATGCAATCGCCTGAAAGGTACACTGCATTGCTGTTCGGCCGGTGTTATTTACTGGGTGCTTATATAAACGAAAATCTCGAGGTCAGTTTTGCGCGCTTTGGCGCTTCGGCTGCCAAATTCGAACAACCAACTTCGTTAACTGCGCAATTTTGTTAAACTCCATTTTATTTTCGTGAATTTTTGCTTCACGGTTTTCTAATTCACCGTCGGAATTAAATATTGGAGAGCTTTAATACAGAAAGAGGACGATGTATAGGCATCTAATGATGGCAGTTTATTTGAATTGAGGGGAAATCATCTTAGGAATGCCGAATTTGTGCTTATTTTGTTTGTGAATATCTGCTCTACAAGACGACACCCAAATGTTGAATTTTGGATACATCGTGTAAAAAATATCACATGCAAAGTACTACAATCGTCCATAGAGTAAAATAGTGTTCTCTTTTAGTGTTTTACTTTTCCGGTGATTAAAATTACATAATTCAATATTCAGTGGCTCCAGCGGTGCAATATTTGGATACACGGATATATGATCGAAAAATAGTGTTAAGGAAGCATTAGCATTACTATAAAGTATTGTAATCTATAATTATGTGGTATTTAATTGTATAATATTAAAAAGCACTAAATATTTTTTTTATTGATTGCAAATTGCAGTTTTATTACTTTCGTTTGGTATCTATTCTTCTAAACACGGTGTAATTCGCGTTTTTTTAAATATTGCCGTTAATGTATGTATATTAGATTATCTCAATAAATGAATGTTGGAAATTAGGTTTTATTCTTTATTAAATTTAAGTATAGTCTATTTTCTTCGCTTACTTCTTATGTGTCTGTGATAACAAAGAAATTCATAATAAATATAAACAAAAAATTTCATTGTGTGCTACTTAACGAGGAGCTTACTTTAACGTACTTAGCTTACTATCGTATACTATATTATTTTATTATTTCTGTACAGTATTAAAAGGAAAGTTATTGATTATAAGAAGGGCATGAAATTATCATTATAATCTACCACTATTTCTAAAATGTAGAAACTAAAAATAAGTAAATACATTTACATATGATCGAAAGAAATGGTGTTAAGAATCATCAGCATTACTAGCAAGTACTGCGATCCATAATTATTGCAGTTTTAACTGCTTACTATTTAAAAAACATAAATAATTTTTTATTAATTGGAAATTTTAGTTCTGTTACCTTCTTTCTGCTATTTATACTTTTAAACCCTGCTAGTGCATGTTTTTTCTTAAATAGTGCTAATGTTGTTTGTTAGGTTATTATTTCATTCTAGATATGAATATGGGAAGTGTTTTTTTAATATTAGCTTTAGGTATATTTTTGTTGATTACATTTATTAACTACTTTTTACTTTTTTGATTACATTTATTAACTACTTTATACAGTCTTTCATTTGCATATCTTGGAGATATAAAAGTTAATGGTTATATTTTTACTAGGAAGCGCGAATAAATTTATGCTTTAGTTCAGGTAAAATACTGATTATGTTACCTCACGCTTCCTAATTTATCATGACAGGGGCGATTTTCATTGTCTTTGAGATTTAACAGAAATAAATGTGATAATGCTGTTATAATCAGAGATACTCTTTTTTACACACATATATAGCTTTACTTTTATTATGTCAACTATTATTATTATATATTTATAATAACCACTTTCATTATTACTGTCATTTACGTACTAAAGGATTACGGAAAAAATGATGAATATTAAATAATCGTAACTTAGAATTTAAGTTATTTAAAAAATATAGCTTACAGTACTGAAAATAAGTAAAGCTATTATTAATTATGTATATTTAGTCTAAAGAGAAATTTAAAAAATATAGTTTAAAGTACTGAAAATAATTAAGGCTATTATTTATTATGCATATTTAGCCTAAAGGAAAAAAATTGTATTATCTTCTGTTTTTGAGGAAATGATAAAATATTAAAACTTTAGAAAAATACAAGGAATACGTTAAAGCAATTACATTAGTTTAAAGCAAAATTTTAGAAAAAGAATAAAAATACATTAATTATTAAACTTATTTTTCTGCATAAATCATTATGTAACACAAGGACGTCATAACGACTTTTTCACAACTGTGGCAAAAAGATTAAATTTGCGAACATTTAGGCGTCGTTAAGACGTCGTGATACGATGCTTTCACAACCAAAATATAACGCGAGAAAGGCGCAATAACGGCGTCTATTTAACATAAACCTCATCTATAAAGACGTCTTTGTAACGGTTGCAAAGCAGTGGAGTTTCGCGGACATCTGGGCGTCTTAAAACGACATATTGCAACGTTTTTGCAACGACATCCGCCACCAGTTTGCAACGGGCAGTATTTAGCCATGTTTGGCAAGGATACATATTTTGATACTGGATACATTTGTAGAAATCAAATGCTAGAATACACTTGTTACCTTTTCTTTGTTCTGAATTACGAAATGCTCTAAAAATGATGACATTTAAACTGAGATTTTACTTTAGAGAACAAGAAATACCAATCAGAAACAAATTTTGGACATTAAGATGGAAGATTGAGTAAAATTACATTTGTTTTGTTCAATACTATGCTTGATAGTAATTGCTTTATGCGAATATTGTTTTTATTGTTCAATTATTGAACAAATAACATCAGGTACTGGTTTCATGAAATCGAAAGAATAATTCCATCTACACTTCTTGCGGTAAGCAGAGAATATTTTAAAAATATTTAAGATAGGATATGTTAGTTTTGTTATATCTGTTGCCTTTTTGCAGCTTGGCTGAGATCGTGTGTAAAAATCCGGCCTTAAAAAGTGTAATCCGAAATGCAAAGTTATAAATAAGTTATTTACAAAAGTCTAAAATAATTTTATATGGAACTTACTTCAGTACGCGTAAGATGCACATCCACTTCATTCTCACTGTATGTCCAGGAACCCAAAATAATGTTGCAGTTAATTACGTTTTTCGTAGCTCGATTGCGGAGCGGGCAACGACTTTTAATCGTGGTAGGTGGAACCCACATGACATTTCCGTCGGGGTAGATCAGGACTTGGGACAAAGGCTCAAGGAAAATGTCTTGAGCTGGAGTTCTGAAATTTGATACCACATTTTCAAAACTGATTCTATACATAACCATTTAAAAAAATTAAATAAAGACTTGAATAATAAGTAATAATCTTGTTTGATTTGATAAATAACAGTGTATACGTTCCCTAAGATGAAATATGCAAATCATTAAAACACAATGATCAATGGCCTGGTAGTAGTTTGTGACAGTTTATCAAAGGCAATTAGTCAAAAGCAGATCTCGAACCCAAACACTACTGTGACAAATGCTAGCGGTTAAAGGAAACAGTTTGTAAGAAATTTCAATATCGGATCAATATAACGTGCTTCCCTTGTTTTTCCCAGATAATCGCAATAGCCCTCATTTTTATAAAATTTCTTCTTAGCATTGTTACGGTTTTTCTTTTTATTTAGTTAGCTATTTTTAGTAGAATTGTTATTAAAATTGTTATTAAAATAAATGCTTCCCTTGTTTTTCCCAGATAATCGCAATAGCCCTCATTTTTATAAAATTTCTTCTTAGCATTGTTACGGTTTTTCTTTTTATTTAGTTAGCTATTTTTAGTAGAATTATTATTAAAATTGTTTTATATCTCCTTGCGATGCAGCACGAGACTTATTTGAAGAGAAAGCTACAATGGAAAAATTAAAATACAGGAGCACGCGCAACTAACATTTTAATAATATATATCTCGTAATTGTACTCGTTTAATATCCAGAAAAATCCAGAAAATACGAGACGTTTCTCGTTCATATTTAAAACGCTTATAAAAAGCCGGAGGAAAACATCTCAGTTCAGTTGATTTATGGAATTGTTTAGAAAACTGTAGTTGTGTAGTTATTGCTGTTAATGATTGTAGCGAATTCGCGGTGAAATCGGATTAGCTTTCTCTGTTTTGAATTAAGTTCTGTTGAATGATTTAATAGTTTAAAAGATAACTACTGCGAGATATTTCAATTGTACAAATATCTGAGGAAATTTAAGCATTTTGTTTTATTTGTTGTGATATAATAAATTTTAATCACCTTTCATCGGAACCCGTACACACTAAACAGCCTTTACTGCAAATTTTCCTCTAAATTATACTGCTTACCTGGAAGTGTAAGGCTCACGTTTGTGTTTTGTATCGTGATTACCCAAAAAAGAAATAGGTGATGTTATTAATGATGTCCAAATGGAAGATGTCATTAAACGCGTGGCAGAGGCAAGCGTCACTCTTCTAAATCGGATGTAAAATTTGCATTTCATACCTTTCGCATAAGACAGTCTGACACATACAAAACTGATTTTGCCACCCTTGAGAGACATTATTCATTTCTCTAAATGCACTTTGGTGTCACTAATGTCCCACAATGGGTCTACAATGACAAATTTAATAATTAAATTAGCTTAAAGCAATTACATTAGTTTAAAGCAATTAAATTAGCTTAAAATTATCTAGTACTCCGCAATGTAAACACATACATTGCCGATATTTCAAATTCACATGATGTCTTAGGTTACCATTTAAAAGTGTTTTACGAAATCCTTCAGAAACTAATAATACTGGATTCAAGTTTACACATGAAAAACAGTGATTTGCAGTATCAGAAATCACTCTTTTTGGTCGAATTCTTTCTGAAGATGGTAAAGGTTCTGATCCCGATCGCACAGTATCAGTTGAACACTACTTGACTCTTAGATCATTTCAAGAAATTCGTAGTTTCCTTGGATTTGCCAATCAATTTAGAACGCACGTTAGTATTTATTCTGTTACTGCTAAATCACTCACATTTTGAAAGGATTGGAATGGGAGACTAGCAATGCTGTCATTATTTTAACAGACATTCGAGATCTTAAAATCTGTAATTACTGCAGCTTCCATTTTTGGTATTTTAAACAAGGACTACCAATTTTTAGACGCATCTTATTTTGGATTAGGTGCAGTTTTATCTCAAGATCAGGATGGAAAGCGCCACATCATTGAATATGTATCATGAATCGTCTTGGTTCAAGTTTCAGAACATCAGTAAAAAACAATGCAACCACATATGAAGTGGCGAAATTCGCTGTTAATCGCAAATTTGCGCGATATTTTTCAGTAGATTTGATTCAATTCTACTTTACAACTGGCAAGCACAATCTTACCGCTGATCATCTTCACGTTTTCCAATACCACCGGTTTGTTTAATGATTGCTGGAAGTTGTGAATCAGTCATTTGTGCAAAATAAATGCGTAATGTCAATGCGTAAATGCCTTGTGTCAGTATATTTTTCACATATTTAAAGAAGAAAAACTTTTCAAACTTTATCACCGAATCACTTTTCAAACTGTTTCTACCAAATATTATAGCCACTATTATTTATAAAAACGTTTAATCCAGTAGAATCTGTATGCATATTCCGCGTATTAGGGAAATACGATAGCAGCTAGAGCCACCAAAATTTTAATGCACTTAGTCCTCACCGTGAACATGTTCATCTCGAAGCCCAAATTTTTAATTTCGAATTTGTTCTTTTACGTATTTCATACTTTTTAGAAATTTAATAAACTTTGATTAACAAACTTATCAGTTTAAAAGTTAGACTTGAAAATGAAACATTTTTATTTACAGTGTACCAGACTCTTGTCATTCGGCAAAAAGTAAGTCATCTTTCAGTTTTAATAAAAAAATTCGGCTATTTGAAAGCAATGTGTTGCCACCAACGGAAATAAAATATTTTTATTTTCCAAGACCCAGCGCACTGCCATATTCAGTAAAGCCTAAAATATTTAACTTTGGGATTTAATCTGGTAGGTTACTGGGTAACAAACTAAGCAATTTAAAAGAAACAGATTTCTTAATATTTTTATACTTTTGATTTAATATAAATGCATTAAAATCATGAGATGTCTAATTAGAAATATTTTTACAAAATGACACTAACTGTTCTCATTAAAATCATTGTCGACTATTTAATTCCTTGTACGCAATAAAGGAGGTATTGTAATCGTGAAAAAATTTCAGGCTTCAGATTACGATAAAATTATCCATTTTGACTATTTTTTGTATGACGTTTGTACGTAATGACAGGATAAAGCATTCCTTATTCGAAAACGAATTGTAAAATAGATTCAAAATGGATTTTTTCTTGACGTCATACGTAAACTGCGCAAAAAAAAGGGGGGAGCAGTTTTATATTTCTCGTCCTACTGGGCCGATTGACGAAATTCAAATTGCGTTTTTTATGTCTCGAAAGCGCGACTTAGGATATATATTAGATTTATATATAGCATCACTCTTAACATAGGTATTTTGACACAAAATCGGACTTTTTCAGAAATGAAATGCCAATTTTTTTCTATATTTCGATTCTACTAGTCAAATTATGCCTAAATATGAAATTTTGTACAATTTAGCGCGACATTTACGGAGAAATTCAAAAATTTAATTTAGCGTATTTTTTTCAGTTTCGCCAAGAATAATTTATTTGGCGGGCGAACTTCTTAATTTATAGCAACCCATTTTCCTTTTCTTTTTTTCATTTTAAACAAGAGGAAAAAAACACATCCTTCATATCTTCGAGTAATTTTAACAAAGTGCGTATTATCGTTTGGCGTTATTATCGCTCAAAAACGATGCAAAATTTCAAATCGCTCCAATATGTAAATTCATGTATATCTATAAAATTTGGAATAAAAAACTCTAATTTTTTACAGTAGTGCCTAGAAATACATCTACTTTAAGATGATGTTAAAAATTTTTCGAAAATTTTTTCGAAAAATTTGTAAAAATATTTAAAAATACAAATTTTAATAATAAATAATTAAAAATGTGCGAATTATATTTGGATCAAGCCTAAATTACGAATTCTGGTAAGAATGAATCAAGTACGTTTACGATGTTGCGTGGCCCCAACTTGTCCGCAACAGTAGTAGTGACTGCTATGAACTGGAAATTACACAAACTCGTAAGAAGGGTTTAATCCCTTTTTATTTCACTTTAGAAATTACAGTTGCGTTCACTTGACGCAAAGTACAACTAAAAATAAATAACAGGATGAATAAATAACGAGGTTACTACCTACGAGGCTCTATAAATGTGACTATCTTAACCGCGTTCTAAGATACAGCTGAGATTCAGCAAACTTTCTGATTAAGAAGTTGAAAGATTCAACTAACTGCCGAAGTAGGCACGCAGGCCGAAACGCGCGGTTCTTAAACTTTCTACCAAGCAACCTTCACGCTCGTGATTCAAGAAGCACACACTTACAAATCTCGTTTCCCTTCTATTTAACCTCAATTACTTCTGCTAAATATTTGAATACTCTGCGCGTTCTACTAAAATTTACATACTCTGGCATTGGGAATTCTAGGGGAAAGTAAAGGCTTGACAGGAAAGATAGCTTAAAATAAATGTTAATTAAAATAAATATAAACCCTACATTTGCCGCTGCCAGAATTTGGTAAACTTGGAAGCAGGTCCTAGAAACGACCTGTTGAAAAAGTTTCCACATTCTGATCTAAAACTCAAGAGCCCCGTTTACATAAAACAAACTGTTTCGTATAAGATTACAATCATTTCTGGAGCTGAATAAAATTACCATCTCTTCTTACAGGATCCTTTCTGGTCTTCAGCAATCAATCTTTTCTCTTCCTTCCAGCATCTGGAAGGAATAAGTATCAGTATCTTCTAAATACATTATGATTTACACTTTCTTAACACTGGATAAAGTTTTCGTTTTCGATCCTTTTATTTTCCTTAATTAACTGCTTAATTCACATTCATTCAAGTATTCAAACATGAATTTAACTTTACCCTGGTTCTCCACCATGTGTGGTGTCAAACGGGAATATTCGTGTTTTAGTATTACAACACTTCCCCTAACCACAATGATTGTTAGAATTCCAACAACCAAATAGACACACCTTAATCGACATATTGAAACTCGATGAGCTATGTTTAACATTCTTAAAATTCAAGTGTAGGTGGAGAACCCTACAAAACACATTCATTCTAATTCCCCCTCATTCATCTTTAGACATGCAGGCTTTGGCTCTAA